CTCTATGGGCCCAGAACCCTACTCCGGCCTAGCAGCCTGCCACAAAAGAGGATACATCTTGAAATGTATCCTTAATGAGTCCAAAACCTGGTGGAACAATACCACAGGTATGAGGCACGCGAAGAGATTCATAGAAGGACCATCCGGAAAACTTACAAAAGAATTACTGGAAGGCAACCGCAACCGAGCCAGGATTGTGGTTGGAATCCTGACGGGGCACTGCCACTTAAGAAAGCACGTGCACCGGATAGGAGTACAGACAGAAGAAACACTTTGCAGATACTGCTAGGAAGAGGAGGAGACCGCAGAACGCATTTTTGTTCCAGTGAAGGTCTATGTAGGTGCGAGTTCTTCCAAATAGGACAAGAAAAACGCATGATCCTACACCAAGGAACCGCTGGCAAAGCTGTGGAGGCTTGAAGCTGGTCAGTGAGTTATAATTAACAAAGGTGCACGATATATCTATTTAGGTCGAGGTGCAGTAGGCCTAGTGGCCTCCTCTTTTATTTCTATCCCTATCCCAATCCTAAGTCACAATGGAGTAATTCGAAAAATCATGAGTTTTGCCATTGGTTATTCTTTGAGCGGCTACGGTGAATTCGGAAGCGCGATTTTTTCAACGAAAATGCTATCGTTTGGTAAATTCAATGTAGTTGGTGGAACAAAGTTAGTATTTCATTCACTATTTTTCGTGGTCCGCTTGACCAATTAATATCATTCATTTAATTAAAGTTTTTAGTTGAAAAATGCCAAAAAGGAGGGAAAATTAAAAAAGGTGGGGTTGAGATGGGAAGTTAGCTCACAAGCGAATCGAAGTCACGATAGCTCAGCGGCGTTTCAAGCCAAAGGTCGTGGGTTCGAATCCAGCTCGTGACACTGACTTTTTTACCTCAAATAAACCTTAATTAATTGTTAGTATTTCAATGACACTAAATTTGAGAATTACGATTTTATGTTTAAAAAAATCTCATTTTATACTAAAATCACAAAAATGCAGATATCTCAAAGAGTCAAATAGAAACCTCGTTCAGGTGGCAGTGTATTTCGTTTTATTTACCATATCCACTATGGCCACATTGATATTTAACCGTGTTACACCCTGTAAAATAAATAGTACTTGATATCTTCTCTTGAGTTTCATTTGTTGTGAATATTCCGTGTGATTGTATTTATTAGAGTGATTGTCACCTTACTTGAGTGAATGGTTTGGAAATAGCATGTATTTAAGAGTGAGGGAATGCCCTGAAGGAGCCCCGGACTGCAAAAAACCGTTCTAAGACCGAATCTGCACACGTGCAATCAATACACAAATATTATTGTTTATTTTGTAATAAGAGAGAAAAAATATTGTTCATTTTTGATTTGATAAAAATGGATTTTTTGAGTTTTGATATTGTTATTTTTGATGCTCACATTAGACAATGGCCTTAATTGTTAACATTAGCATTTACATAAACAATATCAAATGTAAATAATTTAAAATCTATAACATATATGAAAGTATAAAAGGGATAAATCCACAATTCTCTGGAAAAAGAGTGTTTTTGGGCAAAGGATTTTTTTAGAAAGATTTTAGTAAAACATTTGATGGTTAAATTTAAAATAAAGAAAAATAAGAATGAAATGAGCTCACGAAGTTTAATATTTTGACATTTTGAACGAACCATTTTGAACTTTTTTCTCTCCCCTCTACCTTTACTCACTTACAAAACTCCCTTTGTCACGGTTTGATAAAAATTCTGAATAGGTTCAATCCATAATTTATTCCAGGCAGGGACGATTGTTATCTTGAACACTTATCTCGATGGAAACCGCTTTGAATCTTTGTAAACCTGTCTAAAACGTGTTACCGAAAAATGTCCAATAATTAGATTCTGAGGTCAAAGTTGGCTCAAGAGCTCAATGTTATTAAAAAATTAATTGTGTGATCATGATGTGCACGCGCTGGTCGGTCGCAATAAAATTTGGTTAAATAAAAAAAAAATAAAAAATAAAAAATAAAATAAAGTACAAAATAAATTAAAATACTAACTTGTTAACTGTGGCTGGATTTTTTCGACAACCAGGGAGGAGAGCCGTTTAATAGCTAGAACCTGCAATAACTCTGGCCAAAGATAAAACAGAATCCTAGTCTATTAATTACCTTCGGGGCTCCGTCCGAACCCTGTATGATGTGTCGCATTAAGGATGCGGAAGGAGACACTCGCGTTATTTTGAACGAGATAATTAACAAAACGAAAGAAAAAAAATGCTTCTTGAAAATAAGAGAAAAACTGAAAGAAAACTAAAAGAAAATCACTCTTGGAGGCTAATTAACAGTGGACTGTATGGAAGCGAGACGGAAGCGAACAGGACTAGAGCAGGACTAGGCAGCAACAGGAAAGGATTATGGGGAGGGAACAGAACTAGGATAAATTCTAGATTAGCGGCATTTCGGAAACAAATAAACCATTATAATTCGCGATTTTTGGCGCGAACACATGATGATCTTCATTTCTTTTGCAATTCAGGGGAGCCGTTACATTTACTACTCCAACGTTTTAAAGTGAAATTGTTAATCTGTGAAATGACATTATTCGTATGTACTTAGAAGATTTGTAAATAAAGAATCTTTCGAAATTGGTTTGTAATGGCAAAATTGAATGTCATCCTTAGCCTAGTTAGGTCCTCGTAGAACAATAAACCATTAATTCTGTTGGAATATCTCTATTCGGTTGAATTCATCAACTGGGTTAAACGCCAGCAGGACGCCTTCGACATAGCCTGGCACAACGATGTACATTTCATAACAAATTTACAACAGACAGTTTAGAAATAGTTTATTTTACAAAAAAACTAAAAATATAAATAAATAAACATTACAATCAATTTTTATTCCAATTATGTGCTGATGACGTGGAGAATTACGCTGGCATAATTGTGTCCAATGGGTACTGGCTGAAAAGCCTATTTGAGTACGCCAGGAAAAGTCCAGCGATGGTTTTTTCAAGCACTGGTCTCATTTCTTCCGCAATCCCTTGCCATTTTTCATTTATTAACTGATTCAATTCTTCACCTAAAAAATTAATATAGAGACATTAAACTTCTGTTAACACGTGCAGGAGTCATGAGGATTGTAATAAAATTTGCCAAAGGTTGGAGAACTTGCGATTTTCTTAAAAGCTCCCCCACATGATTTATTAAAGGCTGAGTTATTTGATATTATGTTGTGACATAATTAATTATTAGAGAAATGATACTTTGAAATTTGTCTGTATCTCTCTACTCTTAATTAAACGTTATTAGCTTACCAGTTGGAAAAGTCAGCCAATTTATGCTTAAAGGTTTAAAATAACAATCCATTTATGTTTAGTGGTCGAATTAACCAAATTAATTACTTCAATTAATTATTTTTAATGTACTTTTAAGTTTTAGTGTCACGAGCAGGAAACACAATTTTAGACGGTTTGTTGTGGTCAAATCGAATAGAAAAACGTTTCATTGGATTTATATATACGTAAAATTAATAATTTTCACGATAGCTCAAGTGGTTAGAATAGCGGCGTATTGAGCGGAAGGTCGTGGGTTCGAATCCGGCTCGTGACACTAACTTTTTCATCTCAACCAAGACCTGACATAAAAAGAATAATTAGTTTAAAATAACCTTTTTGAATTTCTAGAGAGGAACTTAAAGGCATTTTTCAGTGATTTTGAAAATCATAACGTGCTTTTTTCCAATTACAAAACAAATGCTTAGGCATCAGAGTACATTGACAACGAGAGTCTATATACGTTGGATCACACATTTTTGAAACATTTTTTGTGGTAGGAAGTCAACAAATATTAGATACGTCACGACAAAAATTTTAACTAAAGTTTTTTTAAAATGTTTTAAATTTACTCCCTTTTTGTGCATGAACTTTAACGTTGTTATATATCATTCGATTTATTTTTATCTAGGATAAGGAAATAATACTCGGTATCGTATTAAAAGATATTAGGTATGTACACATTTACAAAAACGAAAATATGATTCCAGTAAAGTAGGTCACAATTTTTTTAAATAAAAAACCTAATTCGGATTCGTTTTAAGCACCCTTCAAATCCTTTACATATGATTTTTTACAAATAATACATATTTTTTTGCTGGGTTAACTCGAGGATATTTTATCTCTCCGGAGACGAGCGTTTCACTTAAAAATTTATAACTCCTCTGGATTTTATCCGACGTCCACGTTATTTCAACCGTTGTAAAGTAAACACGTTTTCTTTCTTGCTGTGTTAACAAGCAATTTTATATTGTTTTAAGTGAGAAAAATATCGTTGAAATCAACAAAAACAGCTTAAACATTTTAAATTCACTAGTTTCGTGGTCTGCTTGACCCATTAATATCTTTCAATTAATTAAGGTTTTTAGTTGAGGTAAAAAACCAGTGCCACGAGCGGGATTCGAACCTACGATCTTCGGCTAGATACGCCGCTGCTCTACCACTTGAGCTATCGTGACTTCGATCCACTCGGGCACTAACTTCCCAGCTCGTAACACTGATTTTTTTTATCTCAACTAAAGACATCCCATCTCAACCTCACCTTTCGAATTTTCCCTCCTTTTTATCATTTTTCAAATGTCGTGTAATCAATTTGATTCTCGGCGACAAGTGAAATGTCCACGGAGAGCTTTAGTGAAGGTATACTTCATTTAAACTTATTAAATTCATTAGTTTCGTGGTCCGCTTGACGAATTAATATCTTTCAATTAATTAAATTGAAAAATGGCAAAAAGGAGGGAAAATTCAAAAGGTAGGGTTGAGATGGGAAGTTAGTGTCCGAGTGGATCGAGGTCACGATAGCTCAAGTGGTAGTGGAGCGGCGTATCTAGCCTAAGATAGTGGGTTCGAATCCCGCTCGTGACACTGGCTTTTTTATCTCAACTAAAAACCTTAATTAATTAAACGTTTTATTTTATATCTCCTGTTTTACTTTATTGATGGAGGTAAGTTTGGTGCCATTAAGTGTAGTTTATATTATTCTAAACCACTTTAAAGTTATTAGATTCCATGATCGAAAAGAGGCTACGGACCTGGAGTCATTGATTTTATTAGAACTATTGTATTTTTGGTTAAGCTGGGTAATGAAATATTACATACGTGTCCGAGCATATTTGCCAAAGAGCTCACTGAGTAGGGAAAAATTTCAAATCTAGGCTAAGAAAATATAATGTACTATGGTACTAACTAATTAGATATGTGATAAATTCCATTAACGAAAAAACGCTTTCGGTGAAGCAGGCCAAAATTTTTAAGTGAAAAAAAAGAAAAACAATTATGTTTCGTTTTAAGAACAATTCTAAGCTCTTAAATACGAATAATTATGATAAATAGAAAATAGGCATTTTTAGGCATGATTACGCTGAAATATTTTTCTCCACTCTCCTCTTGTTCATTTTGAAAATTTATAATTCCTTGGATTTTATCCGATTTTTACGAATTTTGAAGCGTTGGAAAGCTGAATGAATTACCGTTTAGGCTATGTAGCAACAGGAAGCGTTATATTTTTTCGTTATGAGTGAGATAAAGAGAAACAAGGATAAAATATACAAAATCTTTCAAATATTTTATTTTATTTTTTGATTGTAATTTATTTACAGATTCAATCCAATATATTTCGTAGCCAAAGTGACCAAATAACTTCTTTTAATCAATTAATCTTTATGTAAGGTATTGGTTGAAATGAAAAAGCTAGTGTCACGAGTGGGATTCGAACCCACGACCTTCGGCTTGATACGCCGCTACTCTACCACTTAAGGTATCGTGACTTCGTTCCACTCGAACATTAACTTCCTATCTCAACCCCACCTTTTTGAAGTTTCCCTCCTTTTTGCCATTTTAGAAATGTCGTGTAATCTATTTGATTCTCGGCGACAAATGAAATGCCCACGGAATGCTTTTAGTGAAGATATACTTCATTTATTCTTATTAAATTCACTAGTTTCGTGATCCGATTAACCAAATAACTTCTTTCAATTAATTAATCTTTATGTAAGGTATTGGTTGAAATGAAATTTATTTACAGAGGCGATGTTTATGCCAATAAGTTTAGTGTCCACCAGTTATCATTATTTTCGTGGCTTTGTTAAAAAAACGTACCCATTCGATTTTTACAATACATTTTTATTCAAGGGTTTTTGGCGGTGCGAAATGCGAATACAATATTTTTTCTTGCAAAAAAATTTCCTTTTTTCCTAAATCGCTATACCAGTTAAAAATACAGAATAGATTTCTTTGAGTAAAATAAATATAATAAAAAATTCGCAAATTTTTTTCCTCAAAACATATGATATCCTTTACAGAGGTGAGAGGTAAAATAGTGGCAACTCTCCTTTTATTCCCCTTTTGTACATACTTATTATTGGTAACTGCAAACTGCAATATACAAGAATATGTATATTATGAGAAAAAAAACATTTTATAGGATATTTTTATTATAAAGTTAATTTTGTGCATTAACAAATAAATTATATTAAATATAGTTTTTTTCTCAATCTATTGTTATATAAAATACGTATCCTATCATTTTGAGCGGAATCCGGACATTACTTAAAAAAATGTGACCATTGGCCTGAAAGTGCAAAAGTTTTATACGGTGATTTTCTAAAGTGATATGTCTGAACGTGCAACGTGGAAATGAAGGAATTATTGAAAAATTCATACCTAGTTTCCTTTGGTCGTCTGAGAAATAAACGCTCGCATGTCCTATTTGCATGTCGACCGCGGCATTTCTGACGTTCAAGTAATCTTCTCCCCCCTTGGTATTCCTCTCGCATTGCAATTCAGCCAAAACATCCATGTCAGCTGGAAAAACAACGGGCTGAATATATTAAGGAAGAAGAGACACGCTTTAGCTCCGTTTTATAAAGTCTGGGATTCTCACAGAAGTTCGCCTGGTGTCGTCCGATCGCGTGTATCGGCCTCATGTACTCGTTGATGGAGTAGTCTGATTTCATGGATAGATCAGGGATCCATAACTTCATCCTGACGATGCCGTTAACTACATCAGAACTGGGAAAAAAATTCAAATTATTTTTAAACATTTCTTTTAGTTTCCTTATCATTATTAGTAGTTGGTAATTTCAAAAATGAGAAAGAGAGCGAGAGAGAGAGAGAGAGAGAGAGAGAGAGAGAGAGAGAGAGAGAGAGAGAGAGACAAGACAAAATGAAAGCGCAAGAGAAAGAGAGAGAAAAAGAAAAACAGAAACAGAAACAGAAAGAGAGTGAGTTAGATGAGAAAGAGGAAGCGCAAGAGAAGGAGAAAGAGAGAGAGAGAGAGAGATAAAAGAAAAAAAAGCGCAAGAGAAGGAGAGAGAAAATGAAAAATAGAAATAGAAACAGAAAGAGGGTGAGTTAGATGAGAAAGAGAAAGCGCAAAAGAAGGAGAGAGACTAAGAGAAACAGAAAGAGAAAGCGCAAGAGAAGGAGAGAGAGAAAGAGAAATAGAAATAGAAAGAGAATCAGAAAGAGAGTGAGTAGAAGAGAAAGAGAAAGCGCAAGAAAAGGAGAGAGAGAAAAAGAGAAATAGATATAGAGAAAGAAAAAGAAAGAGAGATAGATAGATTACAAAGAGAGAGCGAGAGAGAGAGAGAGAGAGAGAGAGAGAGAGAGAGAGAGAGAGAGAGAGAGAAGGAAAGAGAAAGAGATATAGAAAGCGAAACAGAAGAGAGTGAGTTAGAAGAGAAATAGAAAGCGCAAAAGAAAGAGAGAGAGAAAGAGAAACAGAAAGAGAGTTAGTTGGAAGAGAGAGAAAAAGAGAGAGAAAAGAAGTGAAAAAGAAAGAGAAAATAAAAGTAAAAGAGAAGCAAAGGGAGAGAGAGGGTGAGAAAGAAAAGAAAGAACAATAGAGAAAGAGAGAGAGAGACATAGAGAGAAAGAGAGGCAAATGCACAATGGTGCATACTTTCTTGAGACACTGGTGCAAAAGTTGTTAGCAAATACATAATTTTACATATATTTGAAATCCATAAAAATAAAATAAAATTTCCTATTATAAAATAAATTATTGTTTTCTCATAAGTAGTATATTTTTTTATACTATTATGTTTTCAAAACAAATGCGTGATTTCTATCTAGTAAAACAACTCATCAACACCAACGAACTGATAAGATATAAATAGATTTATTAACACGTTGACTTTTATTAATTTTTTATAGCTTTAGATAATTTATTGACGTCTGATAGTTAAAAAACACCCCTGAAAGTTATCTTTTATTTAGTTTATTTTGAACGTAGCTTATGCAAGAGGACAGTAATGATGCTGAATGGTTATGAAGTGTAATAAAAAGAAAAAATTATGTTCGTGACGTTTGTCCCTAGTTAATTTCTCGCTGTGTTTTCGCCCCAAACAACAAAAAATATGATAGGGTCTGATCTAACTCACACTATAATTTTTTGTGCTATGCTTAGCAACTCGCTGATTTGTTTATTTTTTCAACTAAATAAGTTTATGTCATAGGAACTTTTTCATACCGGTCTGCGAAATTAAACGACGCCCGGAAGCACGAGAAAGTTCGTGCCTGAAAATGGTTCCCGGACGTCTCGGAAGTGGATTACGCTACTTTCTACTTCCTCGCCGGAAAAGAACAGGAAGGACTTCTCTTACCTGACAGATATGAGAGCGAACTGGGACGGGCCTGAGATTTCGACGTTTCTGTATTGGATCTGGACTGTCGATTCGCCTTTCCCCTGGTTGGACGTGATTTCCGTGAGGCGGACGGGATCGCAGCCGGGCAGCCCGAGCTCTGGAATGCCTGCAATCAAAGTTATTCCATGACAGTCGTTATATCGAGGAGAAAAGAATGGAAAAAAATAACTAAACAAACAATAAAGTATTGATTACCGATTTTGCACCAAGGCCAGTCACAACTAATAAAAAAAGTCCATCATTGGACCTTTAAATATCTTTATATATACCACAAAAATAAATACTAATATTTTAAAATATAAGTATTTGACAATAAAAAATGCAATAAATAAAATTAACTTCACAGTAATCCGTAGAAACAGGGAAAACTATGAGTTCTGCAATGGTATTGACATCAGAACCGGTTTAGGATCGACCACAGATTTTTATGCCCCTTATAATTTTCTTTCTTAAACATAACACATCAACTTTATTTTATAGCGCATTGTGTAAACGATTTACGAGACGTCAGATGTGTCGGCAATAACTGTTTGCAGGAGCACTATAAAATAATTATATATAAAAGTGTGTTTCTTCGTGATCATAATTTGTTGAAGTCGTGAGGTGCGGTCAAGAATGGGGTAATTTAGAAAAACACCTTTTTTATTTTTTTTTGCCGATGTTTCGAATTTTATTCGGTTCATCTTCTGGGCATAAAGTGTTGTGCCATTCTTGTGGCGTCATTATATTAAAAAATGAAACTGGTTTTTTTTCTAAACTACCTCATTCTTGAACGCTCCGCACGACTTCAACAAATTCTAAAATTTGCCATTTTTGGGAACCATTTTTCAAAATGTATTTGGTCTAAAATTATTTGAGACTAATTATTCTTATTGTCGAAGATCTTGTTTGAGATGAAAAAGTTAGTGCCATGAGCAGGATTCGAACCCACGACCTTCTGCTCAATACGCCGCTGCTCTAAACACTTCAGTCATGATAGCTCAATCGTTAGAAGAGCGGCGTATTGAGCTGACGGTCGTGGGTTCGAATCCCGCTCGTGACACTAACTTTTTCATCTCAACCAAGACTTTACATAAAAATGTATGACTTGGTCTGAAACTGTTGTATTTACAATTATACGAAATTCACAAAAATATTCAGTATTATAAAATCAAATCATCATCAAAGGATTACTTTCTGTATATGGGAACATGCCGGCGAAGTGTAATTTCACCTGAAAGGCCAGTTTTACAATTAAATTCGATTCAGCACACAATAAAGCACATTAAGCTAACAAAGAGAGACAATGATCGGGTAGCTAATTTATTACGGGATAAAAAAAGCCAAAATTAGCTGACGAGGATAGCGATCGATTTTTATTTTGGAAGAACAGCTGTTTATTTCCCTTTTTAACTCCACTTCCAGCTATTGTAATTTAATTCGGATACAAATTTCTTTTTAAGGATAGTCTGTAGTTTTTCTTTAAGCATGAAGATGCATCAAACAATTTTTTAAAATAATTTAATTATAAAAAAGAAACCTAAATTTTGCCATTTTTCAAAATCTATTTAGTCTAAAATTATTCTTAATTTCTCTAATTGCGTGGTCCGCTTGACCAATTAATACATTACAATTAATTAAGGTTTTTAGTTGAGATGAAAAAAAGTTAATGGCACGAGCGGGACTCGAACCCACGATCTTCGGCTAGATATGCCGCTGCTCTACCACTTGAGCTATCGTGACCTCAATCGAGGTATCTAGCCGAAGATCGTGGGTTCGAATCCCGCTCATGCCATTAACTTTTTTTCATCTCAACTAAAAACCTTAATTAATTGTAATTATTCTTAATAGTGTGTTAAGACTATTAACGCTACTTCCTTTCCATTTCAAAAGCTCAGCAAATGTAGTAAGGATGTGTTTTATAGGAATTAAGGGTCCTTAAACTATTATGCATTCCAGCTCTTTTTACTTATTTTTATCCAGAAAAGAAAGGGAGAAAGAAAGAATGAATAAAAGAAAGAGATATCTATCGCTATCACTCTCTTCGCATCTTTCTGTGCTTGATCTGACAAGCATCGTCAATTCTTTGAGATAAGTTCGAACGGAAAACAGACTTATTAATATTAATATTGGAAAATTTAGTAGCCAAAGAAAAACTCCTGCTTCATGATGGAAATAAGAACAGATTGTCTTTAAGAATCAAAACTGAAACAGATTTCTTAAAATATTACAATTTTTCTTGCCATATGTGAAAAGCAAGGGAAGGTTTGTTTATAAGGAAGTGTAATTAGGATGTTAATGATTTTTTCCGATATTGCGGTTCCTTGGGTTACTACTGACCATCAAGAATTTCATTGTTGGATAAGGCTATAATTACTAATTTATTGGGTTGTCCGGAAAATAATGCAGGATTTTAAGTTTTCATTAAAAAAAATCTATATAAAATATTCTGTTTACGTTTACAGGATTACTCATTTGTATGAATGTCAACACTTATTAATCCTCTTCCAAATGATATTGTTTGTTTACCTCTGTAGCATTCCGCTACTTGGAAATAATTCAGTCATCCTTATAATGTCAAAGCGAGAATTTCGTACGATTTTCTTTTACGAGTTTAAACTCGGCCGAAGCGGAGCCCAAACGGCTAGAAACATTAACCAAGTCTGGGGCGAGGGTTGTGTTAATGAGTGCACTGTGCAAAGGTGGTTTAAAAAATTTCGGGAGGGAGATTTCAGCCTTGAAGATGAAGAAGGTCGTGGAAGGCCTTCCTCTCTTAATGATGATGTTCTGCGATCAGTGGTGGAAGAAAACCCCAAAACAACTGTTCGAGAACTTGCAGAGCAACTCAAAGTCAGTAAAACGACCGTCGCTGACCACCTCAAGGCGATTGGAAAAGTGAAAAAACTCGAAAATTGGGTTCCACACTCATTAAACGATCGCCAAAAAAATCAGCGCTTTGATGTTTGTGCATCACTTCTTTGTCGAAACAAAAATGACCCATTTCTGGCCAGAATTGTTACATGTGACGAAAAGTGGATTCTGGACAGTGGCTCGACAAAGGAGAAGCTCCAATACATTTTCCAAAGCCCCCAACTCATCAAAAAAAGGTAATGGTTACGGTATGGTGGGCTTCATTTGGTTTAATACACTACAGCTTCTTAAATCCTGGCGAAACCATCAATGCTGAATCATACTGTAACCAAATTAATACCATGCATCAGAAATTGGCAGTAATGAAGCCCTCTTTGGTCAATCGGAAAGGGCCCATTTTGTTGCATGACAACGCTCGACCACATGTGTCACGTGTAACGTCACAAAAATTATTGGAGCTTGGCTATGAAACTTTGCCTCACCCACCCTACTCTCCGGACCTCTCGCCTACTGACTACCATTTTTTTAGACACCTGGACCACTACTTACAACACATAATATTCAAAAATCAAACGGAACTGGAAAATGCATTTATTGACTTTATCAATTCTAAAAATTCTGAATTCTACTCAGACGGAATTAATAAGTTACCAACAAATTATTTTGATTAAAGAACATTGCTTTAAAGTAACTAGTTTCTTTTTTTTTGTTTAATACCAAAATCCTGCATTATTTTCCGGACAACCCAATAAAAAAAGAGAATTTACTGCGCTCTTGCAGATGGAGTGTTGCATTGAAAGAAAATGTTAAGTTATCAGTACCTAAGAGCTCAGTCTAATAAGCACAAGCAATTATTGTATCACCACACACACACACACACACACACACACACACACGCACACACACACACACACACACAAAGATAAACGCTTTATTTTGAAGATTTTATCCAGGGGTAGTCCATTTGGTTTTTAAGCTTAAGGTTCTCACCGAACCGGCAAATTAATAAAATAGATAAAGAACAACACAGTATGATCCTGTCTCCACAGGGCGACCTCGATTTTGATCTAACTAGAAATATTTAAAAAAAAAGAATATTATTTCTTTTTTTAATAATAAATTTTAGCATTGAAATTTTTGTTAAAATATATGTACGTACAAATATTTTGGGCATAAAAGTCTATCATCGAGAGGGGTAAAGTTTGTATTGCACGCCCAAAAGGAGAGACAACTTAGTAAAACATTACGCTTCTATTTGAAAAGGACCGCTTACAACGAACAACGGGGCAAACAACAAATAACTTAGTTTGAAACTTAATTTTAACGTACGAATCCCACCTGAATCGAAAACAGCCCCACGATTATGTTAGATAGGCACTTTACATACATATCAGGCGATTATGGTTATTTACATATTTCCCCCACATAAAGGAATGAATTTAGGGTTAACATTAAATATTGAACAATGTTTGTTTAAATTTTGACAGTAATGTTAATTGATGCCAGTATGAAATGATAAATAATACGATTTAAAAAAATTACATATTTTTAATGGTTAATAGTCGAAATAAACTTGTGCTATATTTGTAACATTTAATTTTTATTTCATGTTCATACGTTTTACTCACGATTTTTTTTATAAAATATATAATATAATTAGTCGGATAAGGGGAAAGAAAATGGAGTGAGCGATACAGAAAAAGAGAAAGAGAGAGACCGAGTGAGAGAAAGAGAAAGAGAGAGAGAGAGAGAGAGAGAGTGAGAGAGAGCATGGAAATATTAGTGAAATAACTCACTTACCGTTAGCTAAATGCGGTTTGATTTTCTCTATGGATTCCCTTAGGCAATCGTCAAACTCCGGATCAGACCTTCTGCATATATTCACATAATTTTCTAAAAACCGACAAATTGTGGGAATTTTTTTTTCTAAATTACCAAATATATTTTAAAAAGTTACAGACGAATTCGATGCTGCTCCAGAGATTTCGTGATCTGGGTTAGGAGTTCCAGGAGTTTCGACGCGGCCCAAACGTGATCGGCGGCGATCGCGGATAAAAGGAAAATCACCAAAATCCGTCTGGACATCTTAAGGATACAGGCTGGTTCAAATGCCCGCACGAGCGGACCGGACCGTTCCGACGATTTAAATGTCGCAACAGGATTGAGAAATTTTCAAAATAACGCTTCGTAATCAAAACATTTCCGAAAATAGGCTGTATTATAGAAAACAGTAATATAGTTTCTTTTTTGTCGTATAATGGCGTTTCCTGTTTGCTTTGTCGTTTCTCAATTGGCACATTTCCATACTTTTTGCGAGAGAGAGAGAGAGAGAGAGAGAGAGAGAGAGAGAGAGAGAGAGAGAGAGAGAGAATTGGTCTCCCGGACCACTCTCATATCTAAAGTGAAATACATTTATCGATGAGATAGAGATAGAGAAAGAAAAAGAGACAGAAAGACAGTTCAAAGATAAAGAAAGTTTAAAAGTAGGATAAGTAAGTTTTTTAAATACACATAAAAAGATTAGATAGAGGTAGATAGGTAGGTAGGTAGATAGACAGATAGGTAGAAAAGTAGGTAGATAGGTACGTAGATAGATAGATAGAAGAGAGAGAAGGGGTAGAGAGAGAGGACGGGAGACCCACAGACCGAGAACATTAGCAATGATAGCCATATACAAAGGAAGAGAGCGAGAAAGTGAGGAAGAGAGGGAGAAAGCGAAAAAGAGAGGCAAGAAAAAATTGAAAGTAGGGTAAAAACTTTTATTAGAGATAAAAGGATAGACAGGGAACATGAAACATAAACAAAGATAGAAACAGACAAAAAGAGTGAGGTAAAGATAAAGAGACATAGAGAGAGTGAAAGAGAAAGAGAGAGAGAGAGAGTGAGAGAGAAAGATTGTACTGTTAATGTGAAAATAGTGTTGCTAGATAAGATAGTGAGGCGATTAAAAATACAAAGGTAAAGATAAATCCTTATCTGTACATAGGAATGAGGAAGTATCTGCACACAGACTGATATATAGACAGATAGATAGATAGATAGATAGATAGAGAGATAGATAGATAGATAGATAGATAGAGAGAGAGAGAGAGAGAAAGAGAGTGAGAGAGATATTGAATAATAATTAATGATAATAATAAGTTGCACAGGAATTAAGTCAATATCAATTTGATATTGAAAATGCTGAGAATTTGGACTTTTGAAAGAAAAAAGACGTAAGAAGTATTTAACTCAAAAGGAAGGCTTTGGATCTCGACGTTACCCTTCAGCTTTTATAGCTGAATTTATAGAAGAGAGAGAGAAAGAGAGAGAGAGAGAGAGAGAGATAAATGGAGTGACAGAGAGAAATAGAGTGAGAGAGAGAGAGAGAGAGAGAGTGAGTATGTGAGAGAGAGAAATTGTTCTGTCATTGAATGAACAAATGAAAAAAAGAAGAGACAGACACAAAAGGAAAAGTGGGTACAAGTACAGATTGACTGACCTGTCTCCTAACAAAAGTTACCTACTTTGAGGTCTTTGAGGGAATGACAGAAAAGCAAAATGTAGTGGGGTGAGAGCGAGAGAAAGAGAGGGTGAGGGGGGGGAGAGAGGGAGAGAGAGAGAGAGAGAGAGAGAGAGAGAGAGAGAGAGAGAGAGAGAGAGAGAGAGAACTGTTAATGTGGAAACAGTGTTGCTAGATAAATAAAGAAAGAGAGGTGATTAGAAATACAAAGAAAAAGATCTACCTATATCTGTCCACAGGTATAGAGACGTATCTGCACCCAGAATGATAGATACATATGTGGATAGATGGATAAATAGAGAGATAGATAGATAGAGATAGATAGATAGATAGAGAGAGAGAGTGAGAGAGAGAGGGTGAGAGGAAAGTGAAATGTGGAAAGATAGATTGTTATCTGACTATGTGAAAGAGGACAACTGAGACACAATATACTCAAAGGTAGAGAGTGAACGAAAGAGATGTGGAAATAGTGCCGATAGAAAAAGATGGAGTGAGGACGAGATCGTTAGAAACACAATGGTAGAGCTAATTACATAGCTAGATATGTGAATAGAGTGATAACGAAAGTTAGTGAGTTATTTATGAATGAAAGAGAGAATCAATGAAGGAGTGATAGTGAATTTATGAGTGAGGGACATAGAGCAAGAATGTAATAGAGAAAGATCGGTAAGTGATTGAAAAATCGATTTCGATGGCTTGTTCAATTTATTGTTTTGAAAATATTGAATCAGAAGATCAAAATTTGCAATAGTGAAAGTTTTCTCAGAAAGGGGCAGCCACTAGGAAAACCCCGATTAATTTCTCTCCTCTAGAATGACTCTTGCGTAAGGTAAAAAAAAAAGAATCGGTTCATCAGTGGATAGTGACAAAAAGAGCTAAGTCAAATTTGCGAAACAATGTTTCGCCGGTGGAGAGATCTGATGGAACTGGTTTGACCGCGGCCAAAACACTTCCGTTCCGGGCCCACCCTCTTACGAAACTGAATAGAAGAAAAATCGTCTCCATACACGATCTAATTTATCTTTCTGGAAATCACAACCGGGCAGGTCGAAAAGTGGCCAATGGCTAATGACAAGGTTACGGTGTAAAACAATGGCAGAGGGATTTCACTTACGCCTATATCCAGGCAACATCTAACTTCTTCCATAATTATTAATTTTCTAACCTGCGGTTTTGCCTTTTCCGGACATTTTTGTGCCGAGTCAGTCGGAAACGAGGACACTACAGGTTCGTCACTCCGCAGATCCCATGAGACCTCAAAATTTTATACTTCTAAGTAATCGATTTAATTTTAACCATTTTTAAACATTTTTTAGAATAAAATTGATAAAATAAAAACCTCGTCCAACATATTTAACCGATACATTTTTTGTCAAATTTGAAAGTAAAACATCCAAGGCAAGCGACCTCAAGTCCTACTTTTAAATATTGTAGTTAATTCAGTGTAAAAAAGGAACTTGTTCTGACTTCAATTTTTTAAGGAGAAGAATCATCGGATATTTATTACTACTAATCTTTTTCTTTGGTTTTTCTTATTACATCGGGATCCGATGGCTAGGAACTTTTAAAAAAATTAATCCTTTTATTTTTAACCAACAACATAAAATTGTGACAAAATCGTACAATGTTTTATATAAATAAAATTTATTTCTCTCTTCTTGTGTGTTTGGTTCAAAAAATTCTTTGCGACTATTATTTGGCATTCTTTACGATGAAGATTTTTTGAGAAAAATAATTGAATAAATTTTCATGAGAAACGATTAGAAAATTGATCGCGAGTTTTTGCCGTTGCCGCACTATTTACAGCATAAAACAGTTATCAGTTAAGTCATACTTTTAAATATTGTAGTTAATTCAGTAAAAAAAATTCTGACTGCAATTTTTCACGGAGAAGAATCATCGGATATCTATTATTATTAATTTTTCTGTTTGATTTTTTTTATTATATTAGAAACCGATGACTAGGGACTTTAAAAAAATAAATCCTTAATTTTTAGTAACAACATAAAATTGTGACAAAATCGTACAATGTTTTATATAAATAAAATTTATTTCTCTCTTCTTGTGTGTTTGGTTCAAAAAATTCTTTGCGACTATTATTTGGCATTACTGCACCAAAAATAAAAAAGAATCGATTCTTTACGATGAAAATTTTTTTGAGAAAAATAATTCATATTTTTTCAACAACATAAAATAATACCATAAATGTATGACTTAGTCTGAAAGTATTGTACTTTCAAATATATGAAATTCACAACACATCCAGTATTATGAAATTAATTTATCAACAAAGGATTAATTTTCATATATGGGAACGTGCCGGCGAAGTGTAATTTCACATGAAATGTCAGTTTTCCAATTAAATTTTTTTGCCGACGTTTTGACCTTTATTCGGGCCATCTTCTGGGCAGAAAATGTTGTGCCATTCTTGTGGTGTCATAATATTAAAAAATGAAACTGGTGTTTTTCTAAACAACCTCATTCTTGAACGCTCCACACGACTTCAACAAATTCTAAAATTTGCCATTTTTGGGGACCATTTTTCAAAATCTATTTGGTCTAAAATTATTTGAGACGAATTATTCTTATTGTCGAAGATCTTGTTTGAGATGAAAAAGTTAGTGCCATGAGCAGGATTCGAACCCACGACCTTCTGCTCAATACGCCGCTGCTCTAAACACTTCAGTCATGATAGCTCAATCGTTAGAAGAGCGGCGTATTGAGCTGACGGTCGTGGGTTCGAATCCCGCTCGTGACACTAACTTTTTCATCTCAACCAAGACTTTAGTAAAAATAATAATTAATTGAAACAATTAATATGGTCGATTCTGACCTCTAAAATTAAATAGATTATTTTTAACATTCATAAAGCTAGGAATCATGGGATCAGTTTCATTATCTCCAAACCAAGTTTAAAAAAAAATCTATTATGGCCTGAAATAACTGTGGAAATCAAAGAAATATATACAAAAATATTTATTAGAATGAAATCAATCCACCAAAAAGTATTACATTTCATAACTTAGAAAGTGTTAATTTCACCTGGAAGGTTATTTGACGAACAGTGTTGAATTAAATGCAGCACACATTAAAGAAAATGAAATAACCTAATATGTTCAAAATGTTTTTTAATTTTTTATGCATAATATTGGCTGCATAATATATTGAGAGCTTATGTTCACAGCAGACTGTGGCTTTCCCGTATGAAGCTTGTCAACCTTAGCCTTAGTTTTCTTCTTTTTTTTTCTATTCGCCTTACTGAGTTGAAATCATTTATTCGTCATTACGAAATTTTATATACATTATAGAATATATTTACGATATATAAAAATAATAATTTTTAAAAATAAATAATTGTATATAAATTATATATTAAATATGGTGAAAGCCACATCGCTTTTTTTTATAAATATAGTGGAATATATATTTGTAAATTTATATTTTTTATATTGTATATAAATCATACATACTACAATTGCATTAGTTACCATAATCAAAATAATATAGTAACAATTCGAAATTAATCAATCCATAATTGCTTCATATGAATGAAATTTGACTTTACAACTGTTACAAATTCGAAACTTTCAAACTGTTATTTAAAATACTTTTAAGGCCATGTTACGGGAGTCCAGAGGAGGATCGACGCGACAAAACACTATCGCCTTAACCGCGTGACCTCCTCAGAGAGACCGGTCGGGTCGCCTGATGGTGAGTCGTGCCATTCTCACCACTTTCATTTGATATTTTTCAGAGACGAAATTCTGAAAAATTTATTGTTTTTTTTTTATCTTGACCCACTGTATTCTACAGACGGAGACAACAAAAAACACACTTTTCATAAAAAGTAGTTTTTTTTATAACAATATCGATTTCGGAGTATCATAAGGCCATAAAAAGCAAAAAAAAAAATTCGGGTTGCTACCCGCTCCTCCTCTTCAACTGTTATGATTTAAAAATACAGAAAATCATCAAATGATAAAAAAAACATGTTAACTATTAATAAAAGTAACTTCCAGCCCGGTTTCTTAATAATTAATTTTTTATATGCTGTTTTTCTGGTTTTATCCATCAAATATTAACAAAACATGTTAACTATTAATAGAAGTAACTTCCATGCCCAGTTTCTTAATAATTAATTTTTTATATGCTGTTTTTCTTGTTTTATCCATCAAATATTAACAAAACATGTTAACTATTAATAAAAGTAACTTCGATGCCCAGTTTCTTAATAATTAATTTTTATGTGCTGTTTTTCTTGTTTTATCTATCAAAAATTAACAAACAGTTAACTGTTAATAAAAGTAACTGGCATACCCCGTTTCTAAATAATTAATTCTGTATAGCATTTTATCCATCAAATATTAACAAAACATGTTAACAATTAATAAAAGTAACTTCCCTGCCCTGTTTCTTAATAATTAATTCTTTCTATGCTGTTTTTCTTATTTTATTTATAAATTTTATATTGTTTGCAATAATCTTACTAAAATGATTTATTTACAAATGGACTCCAATGTATTTTGGGATTTTGCACTCCTCATCACCAGATTTTTATTATTTCAGTAGAGCAGTACGTACTGATTTTTAATCAGTTACAACACACAGAACTACGGGAGGTGCCTCGAGTGGCGGGTCAAAAAAAAAAGTTTTTTCCAAAATAAATAAATACATTTCAAAAAACAGTCGCTAGTTTCTTAAGATATTTCTGGTCATCTTGTTTCATTTCAGAATCAATCCTTTCCTTCAAAATCAAACATACTATTTTTCATATACAATAACCATATTGTTATTTTATTTTTGCCATTTGGTGTAAATCTTCAAGGTAAAAAAGAATGAAATAAATGATTTTTTGCATTAAAAAAAAAATAAATGTCTGCAGAAAAATAGCCGCCACTACCTTAAAATATTTCCGATCATCCTGTTTCATATCAAAATTAAACCTTTCACTCAAAATAAAATGTAGTATTTTTTATATATAATCATCATATATATATTTTTTAATTTGCGTTATTTTATTAATACTTATGATTTGTGTAAAATCATTTTCAGAAATTTGTTCTTATTTTTTTACACTTTGTGTTTCAACAATCTGTGGATAATTGTGAGTCCATTTGAGTCAATACGCCCGACTATTTTTACTACATGTCGCAGTTACTCGTCTACCGTCCACAATTTTGGTTTGCTGTACTCCAGGCGATTCGAGAACAGTTTTATTAAATTCAGCGAATAGAAAAACATAGAAAAGGATACCCATGACGATTATTGTTGATATATGTTCGGTTTTTGGATTTTGGACCATAATTTTACACGGTTTGTGATGATCAAATCGATTCGAAAAAAGTTTCACTGGATTCAGGGCACAAAAACTAAACATACAAAATTTTGAGAACTTGGCTCAAACAGCTTGGGTGTTATTGATTTTTTTCCGCTTTTTTGCGTTTTGGCCCCAGGATGAGAACAGAACTATTTTCCCCTTTATTTTTGGTAACCAACTAATGAACATTTTACACACCTAGCGTTCACAGTTGGGTTTATATAAACGTAAAATTAATAATTTTGTTCAAATTAATATAGCCGATTTTTCAAAATGAAAAATGTATGCGGGATTCGAACCTACGATTGAGTATTAATGATTTCGCTTTGCTATCAAGTTCGTCATTTTGATTCCCCGTTTAACCGTGATTTCATATAGAAGCACGTTTTATTAACGATTGTTTAGCGGGACTGTGGTGGATTCACAGGTGTGAATCGAGGATAACGGACCATTTTTTTTAACTTTTATTATCATGGGGTGGGATCGAATCCCACCTGTGACGCACAATTGTCAATTCGCCAAATCGTGTACATATAATAAATACAATATATATATATATATATATATATATATCTTGCGACCTCACAGTCTTTGGAATGTTGGGACTGAGTCGGTCTTCAAGAAATTTGATATCCCCTGTACAAAAAACTCAAAAATGTCAATCTGTAGACAAGCGTGTAAATTCTAGTACGCACTGAGATACTTTGAATCGATTCATGTTGCGGGGCAGAGTCGGGGCTGCGTTGATTCATCGTTGCGATGCAGCCCCGACTCGCTCCGCGACAAAGAACCGTATCCAGACCAAGATTCAGATCACATTCATCAGTGCCTGCGAAAATGACGGGGGAACTAGCTCTCAGGAATTTCCCTTATTCTTTTTTGCATTGTACGTAGTGCATCCAATCGGAAGTGCATTAAAAAAACTGTCACTTTAAAGTGTGCATTTTTTTCAATTTCGGCGACGGAAACACTGAATTTTTGGGTTAAACCGTTCAATGTTTGGCTTTTCAAATCCCGATTTTTGTATTCCGTGAATGATACATCCCACAAACACCGAAGGGAATGTATGTCTTCAATAAACTGTAAAGTCAACGCGGTACTCCACAACATACCTTTAATACAAGACAGTATCAAAATCCCCAAGAAAACACTCACTAGAACGTCAACTAAACAAACGAAGCAAAAGCAGTTCCGATTCTCGTCCGCACTGACCAACGTTGCGCAACATTGAGTCAAAGAATCCCACATCGGGCGGGATTCAAAAGAGTCCGAAAATGCTAGCCCGCAACACACCAGATTCATCGCAACAAAGATCGGGGCAGCCCGGACTCAGGCTAGATGCAGCCGATACTCTCCGAAGATTCAAAGAGTCGACTCAAAGAATCCCAATGCGTACTAGGCCTAACACATACCCGATGCAACACCACTCAATGCTACCACGCAAATCCTAAGTCCAATTTTCCATAAGGTTGTATTACCCCCGAGCACATCTGCCCGATACCACGCAATGCTACCATACCCTACTTTACGCTATGCTATCCCCACTGTCCAGATTTTCGTCGGGTAGCATCGAGTACAGTCGAAGAAAAAATAACGGGACACTCATATTTTTATTCAAACGACATGTATTATTGTCGTTATATTAAGTACAACATACTTATTTTAATATAAACCAAATTAACCGAGAACAAAAATTTTTAAATATTTATTTCAAAAAATTAATTATGGTTTTTAGTTAAGACAAACAAGTCGAGAGGGAAATTCAAAAGGTGGGGTTGAGATGGGAAGTTAGTGTCCGAGTGGATCGAGGTCACGATAGCTCAAGTGGTAGAGTAGCGGCGTATCTAGCCGAAGATCGTGGGTTCGAATCCCGCTCGTGCCATTGACTTTTTTATCTTAACTAAAAACCTAAATTAATTGTAATATATTAATTGGTCAAGTGGACCACGAAATTAGTGAAATTAATTTTAATGGTTTGGTAGAAAATTGATAAAAACACCGGAATACCATGTTTTGATATACTGAATTTAACTAACAATTTATTACATTGTTTGGCTCATAAAATTACACCGTTTTCGTCGAGTAGCGTCAAAACAGGACAGTCACACTTTTTGTTGTTTATTTCAAACTATGTTTGTAATTTTGTCGTCTTATTAATTACAACATTCTTATTTTCATATAAACCAAATTAAGCGAGATCAACAATTCACGCGTTTTTATAAAAAAATATTTAATTATGATGGTTAGGCAGAAAATTTAACTTTATTTGAAACAATTAAATTTAACTAATAATTTATTACATGGTTGTGCTCATAAAATTTAACTGATAATTTATTACATTGTTTGGCTCATACAATTACACCGTTTTCGTCGAGTAGCGTCAGAACAGAACAGTCACATTTTTTGTTGTTTATTTCAAACTATGTATGTAATTTTGTTGTTTTATTAATTAAAACATTCTTATTTTCATATAAACAAAATTAAGCGAGATCAATAATTCACGCGTTTTTATTAAAAAATATTTAATTATGATGGCTAGGCAGAAAATTTAACTTTATTTGAAACAATTAAATTTAACTAATAATTTATTACATGGTTGTGCTCCTAAAATTTAACTAATAATTTATTACATAGTTTTGCTCAAAATAATTCATTAAGAACAAAAGAGGCGTTGCGATTGTGATACTGTTTTGTGATACACGCTGTGTGACTGTACCTGGCGTGCGTTTGACGTATAGATGGCACACCCTACCAACAAGTGACAAGGCGTCGGGTAGCATCGGGCAGCGTCGCATAGCGTTGAATCGAGTGTGTTGCCCGCTTTAAGATTGTTTTGCCCTGATGATGACCTTAAAATAGGCCGAAAGCTTTGCCAGTAACAGATGGATTTGCTTTCTCCTTCAAAGCCATACGTTGATCCAGAGTGTTCGCGAGTGAAATGCCGTTGCTATTTCTAATAATGAAAATAGAAATTTTTAATAATAAAAGTAAAAATTAATAGTAATTTTGTGTTTCATTAAACGCAAAACATCGAAAGGTGTTCATACTCAGCATAGTTTTCAATCCAAAATTACACGTGAGCTATTTATAAATGAAATTTATAATGGGTAAAAATAAAACGCACATTTATGTTTATTTTTATTTACTTTTAAAGCTACAAATTAGTGTAATAAATTATTTAAAACGTTTTTTACTTAAAGGGCTTGTCTGACATTTTCCATTTTCATTCGCGAACCGATGAGGAAATTATCACAAAGTTTTTTCAGCCCTACGATGACTACATCACGCTAATATATATAAACAAGACCTGGCGTGATTTATAGGTAACTCATTATCAATCGTGTTCATTGCGTAATTAAACACAGTTTCTTTTAAGAAGGAAAAAGCATTTATAAAAATGAAAGGTGGGAGGTGGAAAGGACGAATTATTGAGGAAGGAGTTCGTTGTAAGGGATTGAACGAAGTACGTTGTTTCCCATTTGTTTGATGATTGCGTCCGCAGTCTCTTCCGCGATCGGTGTCACAATTTCCAAAACCTGCTGCCTGTTCTGGTTGATGAAATTCGCCGCGGTTTGCGCTGAACAAGAAAATACATAATAATAAAATGTTTTAAAATTGTTAAACTTATGCATACTTATGAGATCGTTTTGTGGGTTTCTATCGGTGTTGACGAACTTGACGATTTGGTCGCCGACTTTGACCTTGCTCCTCAGACTTTTAATGGCGACGTACTTAACACCTTTCTTGTTCGATATGAGCTCACCGGTTCCTCTGACGTCAGCCACGATGTTTGCTGAAAAATATTAATAAATAATATGGAAAGATGTTGAAAAAATATTTAACGATGGCTTACTGAAGTTTCCTTTGAAGAGTCCTTTTCCTTTGAGAGGCACTAAAAGAAGCCTACCGTCGACGTCGTACTCAGTCGTGACATAGCACTTAGGGATTGTAACACTCATTTCCAAACTCAAAGAATCGATATTCGTCCTAAAAAAATATACAATTTCAAGTTAATATACCAAATTTAAAAAATGATTTAATGATGTTTCCTTAACATAATATCAAAACCAGATAAATCGGCTTTCATAAATATCATACAAAAATTTGACAACAGTTGGCGTTTAATAGCTATTTATGGTATAATACGATTTGAATTCCTGGAATTGGTTGAGAGAAATCCTCTTCCGGGGCCTGCATTTCCATTACATCATCCGATTCACTGATAGCAAATATTAACGTACAGCTCCTGACAAACACGTAACTTTGGCAGAAAGATTGAAATATTAGTTGTTTGAGCGAAATTTTATTGCGATGCGTTGAGAGGAAATTGCCTGCGGGCCTAAACTTTCATTTCTTTGTAAACCATACAACGCGGCCTTGTTCGAACAATTTTTCCAATCTTTGTAAATTTGATATTTTTTTTTTACTTACTACTAAAAGCAAAAAACTGTATTGAAACCAGATGAAACAAATCCAACCTGCACTCTAATGATTACTTTATTGAAATAGTTTTAAAATAAAACAATTATATTGTACATATTCCATATTTTTTTACCATCTTCTTGATAATTTGTTGATGGATTTATTAAACTAAAATAAAAATAAACTAATAATGTAATCTAGCATAAAGCAAAAACATATTATACATTATTTATACGGTATAATGAGAACATTAAAATGTTAAAATGAAAAATTTTATATTAATAGTTCCCAATATACCAACTTTTATCATATCCTGAAAGGTATGTTAAAATCTGTCCTTGTGCTTAAACTTTGTGAAAGGGCATATACCCTTCTTATCTTGCCAACTAATAAAGTGGATATGATAAAAGTTGGTATATTGGGAACTATTAATATAAAATTTTTCATTTTAACATTTTAATGTTCTCATTATACCGTATAAATAATGTATAATATGTTTTTGCTTTATGCTAGATTACATTATTAGTTTATTATAATTATGTTCAGACTAGATAATCATAGGCGGACTGAATCGTAAATCCGGAAAGCCCCGTCAACACAATTCTAATACGTATTGCTAATTAAATAATCATATTTTCAAGGAAGTTTGTTATTTATGCTTCAAAATGTAAAAAAGACATTGCTAAATTTATTTTATTATCTTGTTAGCTAATAAAGTGGATGGGATAAAAGAGTCCAGAAATATTATACTAATATTTAATTCTCAATGCACATTATAAATTAATAATAAACGGATTTTATTCCATGTTAGATTAAATTATTAATTTATAAATTATGTACGGTCCAGAAAATCACATCATAGGGCACTGAATCGTAATTTTGAATTCTCCATTACAATAATTTCGATATGCCTATTAACCACATTTTGATGAAACTTTGTTATTGATGTCTCAAAATATCGTATACATAAATAATAAGTTTTACAGCTTGTACAATATTTCGTATTCCAAAAACGTCTATCACTCTGGAATACATCGAATACCAAACCCGCATGACGGATCAGTAGTGCAGGTCTAGTGTTAGGTTTATTTTCAAGTCAACAGCAGAAAAAATTGTTATACTCGATACTGATATAATACTGAGTATCTAAACAAGAAGAGATAAACTCCCATGGCCTTATCGTCCTAACGGTCATCAAGCAAGCGACTCACAAAGCCTCATAGTTGGCATAATGCTGGATATATTACATAATCTTAACCAAAATTATTTTCGGGACAAATGAGGATGTGAATATTACAAGAATGGCCGTCTATGAAAGGAATAGGGAAATAAATAAATAGCTTCAAAAAAGGTGGGGTCCCTAGAAAAATATAAAGCATATTTTGGGCTGGGAGTTGGTGTCCGAGAGGATTCAAGTCAACAGCAGAAAAAATGGTTATACTCAAAGCACTGATATAAGTCACGATAGCTCAAGTGGTAGAGCAGCGGCGTATTGAGCCGAAGGTCGTGGGTTCGAATCCCGCTACTGACACTACCTTTTTCATTTCAACGAATGCCTTACATAAACATTAATTAATTGAATGATTATTTGGTCAATCGGACCACGAAATATAATGGCTATAAAACATACGTAGACACAAAAAATATTCAGTGTGGGTCGAATTCTTGTCATAAATAAAAAACCGCATAATGGTTTAGTATAATATATTGTCTTTAGAAATGCAACAATGGAAAAAAAACATCAAATCACACAACAATTCGCGTTTACAGGACGAATTGCATGCAACAACATTCAAGAACACAATGAATTCATCAAAGACTGGTGCAACAAGACTGTATGAAGAAAATTTGCACAGTGTACCTTTAAACTTAAAAAAAGTCTTGTCCTCCACTGTGCAAAAAAAAAGGAGATACAGATTTCCATTTAAGTCAGGTATTTATATACCAAGACAGCAGACAGGATTTGACATACCAGTACCGTCAGACTTATACGAAGCGGCGTGCCACAAGGAGCATTGTTAGTCCCATTTTTTATTACCTTTATACAGCTGACTTTCCTACATATCCTATTAACCTGGATATCTACTATCGAGAATCCTATCCAACGACACCTTGAGTTTACCAAAACTGGATAACAAGACTGACTAAGGAAAATGTACTGAATAAACTCTCTAGGCGCTGACTGTTTCTGATACTTAGGCCTTTGACTTTTTTATCTCAACTAAAAAACCTTAATTAATTGTAATATATGATTTATAATGCTAATTTTCCAATATAACCAATACCATCATGTGCATGGATGATAGCGTAATTCCATTTCCTAATCAGAATTCAATTCAAGGTACTTCTAATAAAGTTGTCAAAGCCTGGGGAAAAAATTTTAAGACAAAAGGAATCAGGAAAATTTACTCGTGTACGTTTACAGTTAAAAACTGTCTTTTTTAACTTTGTTTTTACTATACATCAATAATAAAGAGCTACCGACTTCCAGTGAGTCAGATGCTTAAGACTAAAGGACGTAGAATCACTGCACAAGACTTTAGAAAACTTAAACAACTCGGAAGACTTCTGGACCTCAGTGGCCGAGTGGTTAAGGCGTCAAACTCTCCGCTAGTGGATCACGCGGTCGTGGGTTTGATTCCCACCGTCGCCTCTGGACATTTCTTCTTACGCCTAAGGGGACCGCCGCAATTGAAAAATATTGACACAGCACTCATCAATGGAAGTTCTACGGCGGGGTCGGATCTCAGTGACCAGGAATTTGGTCCAACGCCCCCCCCCCAAAAAAATGAGTTTCTTCGATGGAAGAACACTGGAACACCGGGGGCTTAAATTCACACGTTTTGCGAACTCCCTAAAATGGAGCCAAGAAGGAAAGAACAATAAGCTGGGTACTATAGCTGCAGCAGTGCTCAGGGGGAACTTCTCCAGTTCCTGGTATCCATAAAAAAAGTGACGATCCGCCAAGACATCCAATATGTACTAAGCCAATACTTCGTACCAAAAATTCTTAGTTTAACTGTCAAAGTTCCTTACTACGTCACAGACTCACAATCCACAACGACTTAAATATCCCTTTTGCCCACGAACCCACTCACAAAAGTTCCACACCAGTTTCACTACCCATCCCAAAAACCAAGCAAAACACAGATTGGTAATGAGTAAGAACAATTTAATATTTTATCGACTATTTAATATTTAAAGTAATTTGGTATAAAAATTTAATTGGGGAGTAGAATGTTTGGGGCATCTGACTCGTACATGTCATCCTAGCGGATAGGGTTCGAATCCCATCACACTCCATGGATTTTTAATTAAAAATAATATTAAAAAAGTATTGTAAATTGTCGAAAAGTACTAACTTGAGTCGGTTTATTTTGAAGCTGCTTGCACCGTAGACTTTGACGTCTTTCAGATTCGCCTTGACTTTGAGGTTGGGCAAGTCCCTGTTGATGTTCAGCTCTGGGATCTGAAGCGGCTCGAGCGCTGGTACCCTGATTTTCGGAATTCCTTCAAATCAGTAAAGTTATTATATTCTCATCGTTTTGTCGGCTAAATAAAAAGAAACAATACAAAATTCAATTCATATACCATTATTCAGATGCGGTCGGACTACTTCGATAGATTTCAGTATGCAATCGTCGAGATTTGGGTCGTTCCGCTTACAAGTAGGCACGAAATCGGCTGAAAAAACAACAATTTAAATAGCCTTTTATTAACAATTAAAAAATACAAAAACAATATCACAGGCGATAATCTCTGGCGTAATTACATTGATCTACTTAATCCGATTGGCCGGTCTACCTCGGACTAAATCCCATCCGATTTAAATGTCAATGAAAATTGTATATGAGTCATTTTTGTTTGCCAATCTAAACCATATTATCAATTTATTATACATGTAAAAAATCCGAGCCAACTGATTTTTTTATTTTTTGAATTCTGCCCTTAATTTGTTTCATTGTTTTTACCAATAATATTTGTTTTTGCTTTATTTTAAATTGGGAATATCAGTTGGACCAAAACAAGGATAAAGGATTTTTCAATGTTTAATGTGTACAGATTTTAAAATGTTTATTCATTCTCATTTGAATTCTGAAACAATGATCTGTATTGTTTTAATTTTTGTTTTCTTAATTTCAATTTTTAAACTTACAAAATGCGTCTTAGTGCTGAGGACGTTTTTGACTTTGATAATTTTGTGAAACGGGCACCTAACCCGTTCAAGCGATTCATCAGCTCCAGAAAGGTTTTTATTTTTTTGCCTTACTCCTAGGTATCTAGCCATAGTACTTATGCATGTCGGGCTGTATAACCCGCCAGACCCTCACCCACCAGGAGAGCCACACGCCGCCCGGCACCGCCATCGAGGAAGGAGTCCATCCTGTACGTTCAACTGTACAAACTTATACTACATTGTGGGGAAACCAGTCCCCAATCGGGCGTATTAGGGAGATCTGGATAAAAACCTTACCCAGCATTGCATGAAGTTTGAGGTGTCCAAATTTCTGAACGCACGGCTCGAAGAAGATTAAATTGGTATGGACTGATGACTTTCCGCCCTGTAAGAGGACCAGAATTGACCAGAAACAAAGTAACACGGCTTGCATTTGCTCGAGAACAGCCATTGGTCTCTGGACGATTGGCCTGCTATACTTTTTACATGAGTGTAAATTTTGTTCTACGATCTCTAAATGGGCGTGATAAGGGAGTGAAGAGTCGAAATGAAAGTTACAAGCCTGTAATCTTTCCCAGAGTGAACCTTCTCAACGTAGCTCAGTGACGGTGTGGCGGGGAATTTCAATGGAGAGTCGCACAGAATTGGTTGTTGTTCGTGGAGGTTCTTTGACCGCCACTTGCTATGTGGATGAAATTTTGAACCGTCATGCGATGCCTATCCTCGATGAAACCAGCCTAATCATATTCTAATGCACGATAATGCCCGCCCACATGTCGCTCGCATAGTACAAACCTACCTTCAACAGCATAACATCAGGGTCTTAGCTTGGCCAGTCCGTTCTACAGGTTTGAACGCCATCGAACATTTATGGGTTAATCTTAAAAGACGAATAAATACATGTCCATTACGTTCTAATACACTCCACAATCTTAAACAAATTCTTCGTGAAAAACGGCCTAATCTCCAGCAAAGAGTCATTTCCATATTGGTAGAAAGTATACCGAGGCGTCTTCGAGACGTAGTTAAGGCAAGAGGAGGAAATATGCAATATTGAAATATTATTTAAAAATCTAAAACAAAATTAAAACAAATTTTATATGTCCGTCTTTTTTAATTTTTTTCGTATTTTTAATTTTCTTTAGTAATTTACATTTTTAAATTTTTTTATGCAAAGTCTCAATTATTAAACGTTACAAAACGAGAATCTTTGATTAATATATAAAAATATATACAAATCAAGTTATATTACGAATGAGAGTTTTTAGTATGTAAATCAAGCAAAAAACAACTCAACAAAATATATGAAAAATTTCTATTAAAAAATATAGATGCTAATTAATAAAAATTAATACAATTAATGTTTGTAATAACATAAAACTATTGGGTTGTCCGGAAAATAATGCAGGATTTTGGTATTAAACAAAAAAAAAGAAACTAGTTACTTTAAAGCAATGTTCTTTAATCAAAATAATTTCCCATACTCTCAATACATTTCTCCCAACGTGTTGGTAACTTATTAATTCCGTCTGAGTAGAATTCAGAATTTTTAGAATTGATAAAGTCAATAAATGCATTTTCCAGTTCCGTTTGATTTTTGAATATTATGTGTTGTAAGTAGTGGTCCAGGTGTCTAAAAAAATGGTAGTCAGTAGGCGAGAGGTCCGGAGAGTAGGGTGGGTGAGGCAAAGTTTCATAGCCAAGCTCCAATAATTTTTGTGACGTTACACGTGACACATGTGGTCGAGCGTTGTCATGCAACAAAATGGGCCCTTTCCGATTGACCAAAGAGGGCTTCATTACTGCCAATTTCTAATGCATGGTATTAATTTGGTTACAGTATGATTCAGCATTGATGGTTTCGCCAGGATTTAAGAAGCTGTAGTGTATTAAACCAAATGAAGCCCACCATACCGTAACCATTACCTTTTTTTGATGAGTTGGGGGCTTTGGAGCTTCTCCTTTGTCGAGCCACTGTCCAGAACGTCTAGTGTTATCGTAGAGAATCCACTTTTCGTCACATGTAACAATTCTGGCCAGAAATGGGTCATTTTTGTTTCGACAAAGAAGTGATGCACAAACATCAAAGCGCTGATTTTTTTGGCGATCGTTTAATGAGTGTGGAACCCAATTTTCGAGTTTTTTCACTTTTCCAATCGCCTTGAGGTGGTCAGCGACGGTCGTTTTACTGACTTTGAGTTGCTCTGCAAGTTCTCGAACAGTTGTTTTGGGGTTTTCTTCCACCACTGATCGCAGAACATCATCATTAAGAGAGGAAGGCCTTCCACGACCTTCTTCATCTTCAAGGCTGAAATCTCCCTCCCGAAATTTTTTAAACCACCTTTGCACAGTGCACTCATTAACACAACCCTCGCCCCAGACTTGGTTAATGTTTCTAGCCGTTTGGGCTCCGCTTCGGCCGAGTTTAAACTCGTAAAAGAAAATCGTACGAAATTCTCGCTTTGACATTATAAGGATGACTGAATTATTTCCAAGTAGCGGAATGCTACAGAGGTAAACAAACAATATCATTTGGAAGAGGATTAATAAGTGTTGACATTCATACAAATGAGTAATCCTGTAAACGTAAACAGAATATTTTATATAGATTTTTTTTAATGAAAACTTAAAATCCTGCATTATTTTCCGGACAACCCGATATAAAATATGATATTAATTTATAAAAATTTTAGTTCGTAAATTTTTGAATTCATTTAAATTTTTACAATCTATGCTAATAAAGGTTCATTGAACATTTTCACATTTAATCTATGTGGAGGAAGTTAGTTTTGCCTAAGCATTTGATATATTTTTGGTTCTTTTCTGTGTCGATTCGTACACGGAATCTATTTCATCGAAGATTAAAGTGGAAATTAATGCAAGAATGGACCTTATGTTTAATTTGTCTTCTTCTAGGGTGTTATAGAGTTATATAGTTATAGTTTTCGCCGTCATGCTCGTCGCTTAGATTGGTCTCAAATGTGTTCGATTGGGTTCAAATCTTCTTGTAGCTGGCCACACCAAGCATTCAATTCCAACCTCATTCGGGGAGTTATGCGCAATATGTGCTCTAAGGGCCCTGGCATTATCCAGCATTAGCAAAAATCCCTCACCGAAGGAGGAAATGTTTTTCGAATGTTTTGTAATTACCTCTGTGAAATTAGAGATCTTAGTCGCACAACCGATTCGGTGCCACTTGAGAACATCAATGACCCACATCGTGCATGGCCACCTGAAGAACCGAACAACATGTTGCGTACCTTTCTCCTGATCGTCTCCATATGAAATTACGCCCATCCGAAGATTTAAGTCCAACTCTCACCTAATCTGTTATGAGAACTCGTCTTCAGTCACATGTTCCCGTGCGAATTGAAGCTGAACATTTTTTGAGCTGTGGTAAGACGAGATCCTCGAGCCGGGTGCAAGACACAAGTTATTTTCATTGAGTCCTGGAGGAAATCAAAACATTTCGGACTTGTCTTATCAGATTTCTTTTCTCATTTCCTACGGAGGTTTCATAAAGCCTGATGATGGATGAATAAAAGTCTGTATGGACTGTAGACCTAGTTCGACCCTTCCTGGCTTTCTAGTGTGAAGCCCTGTATCTCTGAAGCGCCAAAGTATCCTTCCTGTTGTGATTAACACTCAACCACCGCGACTTCGCGTTGGCTGTATTCTTCCTCGATGAATGTTAGGACCCTTACATACTCATTCAAATGCCTGAATGGATCCATCGAAAATGGTTCAAGAATAAGACAAATGATTATTTGGAGGTCGTGAGGTGCGGCGTGGTGTGACGTAGGCTTTAGAAAAACATTTTATCATGCCAACGTTTCGATCTTTATTGAGATCATCTTCAGGGCTCAAAGTGTTTGTTTTCCGTGTAGATGTGTCATTCTGGTCCGTCGTTACTCTGTTGTGTTATTCTCAACACGACAGACAAGAAGGACACAGCTACACGGAAAACAAACACTTTGAGCTCTGAAGAAGATCTCAATAAAGATAGAAACGATCTTCTTCAGAGCTCAATAAAGATCGAAACGTTGGCACGATAAATAAAATGTTTTTCTAAAACCTACGTCACACCAGACCGCATTTAACGGCCTCCAAATAATCAAGTAACGGTCACTAAACACCACCCATTTCTAAATAAGAAAAATATCAAATTAAATCAATGAAGTTAAAATATTACCTGAAAAAGATCTCTAGGTGTAGCAGACTGGAAGAACGTAATGCTTCTTATTGTTGTACAATGGGATTAATCAGTACAAAAGTAAACAAAACAACTAAACAATTTTAGTATTTTGACTATGATGGCTCTTATTTTCTTATAATCAATGTAAAAAAATAATTGATTTAATTTTAAACCAAATAAATTGAATTTTGTGTTAAATTTATCCCTTAGTGTATAATTAATAGAAAAGCAAACGTCTATAAGTTTCTCAATAATTGCAGCGTAAAGGTTAAATTCCTCGGGTCGTAACTAGTATTGCAATAAACGTCTAGACGCATAAATGTCATGTTTCTCCATACGCGAATCTGTCGTAATCCTTGACGTCTGTGTATAAAGGAAAGCTCTTTAATAGACCAGCCATGAAGTTGTGAAAATGGAAAGTAAGTAAGTTCCTCGGTGTCTTTCTTTTGTTTAAAATATTAAATCTTTAGCTTTGAAGATATTTAGTTTATTTTGTTATTTCTAAATATTGACTTTACGTTTCAGATCATTATTTATAAAGATTTTTATTATTGAAAAATTGCAAAGAGTAGGGAAAATTTGAAAGGTTGGGTTGAGGGGGGAAGTTGGTGTCAGAGTGGATCTAAGTCACGATAACTCAAGTGTAGAGCAGCGGCGTATTTAGCCGAAGATCGTGGGTTCGAATCCCGCTCGTGACGCTGACTTTTTTATCTCAACCTTACATAAATATTAATTAATTGAAAGATGTTATTTAGTCAATCGGACCACGAAATCCAATGAATTTAATTTTTATTATTATTGATAATTGTCCTGGTTGGTTTTCGACCACGTAACACTGAACAGATTTTGGTCAACGACAATTCTTTTGTTGTAGTTGATTCCCATTACTGCATTGTCTGAATTAAATAAAGTATGCGCACGCTTCGTTGAGTACATCGGGAAATCTTGGCCGACGCGATTTCATCGCGATTCCCATGCTGCTTCGACACGACTCTCGCATCGAGGAAATTGTGCATTGTCTTTTTCTTCGATATTTCTAACTCCAGGGTCGGGCCTATTTAATATTCTTGTCATTGAAAGACATCGAAGACACAAGAGCAGGTTATGTTTTGAACAGGAAGTTTATTTTTGTAAATCCGTAATAGCCGAGTTTTAAACCAAATCTTATCCCCCGGAGTCGAATGGTTGCCCATAGCGTTGAGTCATATGATGCGACATGATCAATAATCAGTATGCACGTATGTGCCCTCAAAACGTGACGTTAATACAAAATAATGCCAAGGTGACAGTTCAAAGAAGCAATATGCAATACTTAGCAAATCTGGTTATTTATTATTCTTAAATAATAACTGAAAAGCTTTGCCCATTTTTATTTGAGAAGAAATTACCTAAAATAATACATTGGTCTATTGTTACAGTCCGTTTTTGTCAGAAGCCGAAAAGAATGTTTTACCAATATTATTCAAAAAACAGCGTTGTTTTATGCATTACGACTACTTGTACTAATAACTGTTTGTTTTTTGTGTTTATCAAATGTTTAATAAATAATAAGTAAAATAACTTACGTAATTTTTTTCCTAAGACTTCGTTGAGTGCCAAAACCACCACAGACATGAACACCACATTCAGCATCTTGATCTGCAAAATTTATGATCTTTTTAATACACTCTCGTTTGTAAATTGAGAAACATCAACCCTTTTTTTAATTTATAGTCATTCTTTTAAAACACACGTGAGCAAAGTTCAAACCCAGCTCCTTTGCACAACGTCCGTTATTGCATTTTTTATGCATAAACCCGTGAATTATTTATGCAGTTGCACAACAGTATGTGAAAGTTCGAACCGATGACTTGATCGCTCGGTTTCGGGTGAAAAGTGGCAGACCCGGTTTTTCGAATAGATTCAAAACAAGATGATTCGATGACCTATCATTATCTAATAATGAAGCCGGTTTAAATAGAATTTTTGAACCTTTAAACGTGTTTTTTTGTCCTTCAATCGCTGAATAACTTATTAATTGTAATTATAGTTGTATAAATTTAGTGTATTTGTGCTACAATTCAACACACTGACAATGCTCTTGACTTTTTAATTGAGATTAATATAGAAAAAAACATTGCATCCGCCTCATCATCGACACCCTGCGGGTAATTGGACTTTAAATCCTCTTGTAAGTAAATTAATATTATTTCTTTCATATTATCCAATTTAAGGCAAGAATATGTAATAAATTAATAAACTTCATAACTACACGAAAAAATTATGTTCCACAAATCAGGCCTTTTTATAAGCCTCGAGTTAAGTGAAATAAACATAATATTAATGAAATCGAAGATTTAAAAAAATATTTTTTATTCATAGAATTGCTTAAATATGGCTTAAAAATTTCAATCAAATATCTACTGCAAAGTTTCGGCATCTTGTATCATTTTTAAAGCTGTTTTATTTCTGTAAATATTTTAATTTCATATTAATATTTCTCTTAATTACATCAATATATTTTTATTGAATAAATCAGTTGAAAACGAAATTTCAAACCCATAAAACTGGCAATTGTTATTTACGTAAATAATTTAGTATAAAATATTCTTAAGTAATCCAATCTTTTGACTTAACCTTGCATATGATTCAGAAATGGAGGATGGTATAGAAAATTGAAAATATTCAGAATATGTGAGTTCAAGACACATAAATTTAACAGTTTTCTATATTTATGAAAAATTAAGTAGGCAAATTAGCCAGTTAGATGTAATACCAGAAATTTCAGTTCTTACATTCAATCTTCAATAGAATAAAATGGTTCATACCTTTTGATAAATAACTATTAGAAATAAAACGAATATTTGTTAACATTTTCAAAGCACAGGTCCAAATTAATTTAAGAGTTATAAAAAATTAAATATAATTATGTAGTAAATTGAATCAGTTCCTTGTACCAACAGTATTAATTAATTATATAAATTAATTTATAATAAATTAAGAATATATTAGTTTTAAATAAAATGTTATTAATTTATAATAAATTAAGAATATATTAGTTTTAAATAAAATGTTTGTCAATAGTTTTTTCATTAGGGGTTTTTAGATTAGATTTACATATTGTGTTTTATTTTTAATTATGAGAAAATTAGTACTTAGAACACAGTACTTAGCAAAATTGTATCGTTTTTTAAGTGTTTCGAAATTTTTTAAGAATGGAATTATTATTATAATTAATATTTTATTTTGTGAATTCTCTCTCTCTCTCTCTCTCTCTCTCTCTCTCTCTCTCTCTCTCTCTCTCTCTCTCAAATTTTATTGTAATATAGGTATTGATTTTGATTATTATTATTTTATTTATGTTAGCGCACCTTACAGACAAAACCACCTGGAGTTAAGTAATTAGGTAATTTAAAAGAATATGAATAATTTTTTAACAGTTTTTGTTCTAAATCTCTTCATTGCAAAGTTTCTTTATTCTATAATTCTTATTCTATCCCCTTATAAACATATTTTTTTTGAAAATTTTCCTTATTATACATTCATTTCTCTCGCTCTCTTTTTCCCTTAACCTCTTTCGGTTTGTGTGAGAAACTGTTCAAGTCTCTCCTCTCTCTCTCTGTCTGTCTGTCTCTCTCTCTCTCTCTCTCTCTCTCTCTCTTTCTCTCTCTCTCTCTTAATAATATAACTTACTGTCTTGCAGTAATTCTAATCTTTCTAGTAAAAATCTTCATACGTTACATGACACATACGTTGCTATAAATATGTGTTTTCTCTTTATCTTTAATCTACACTATAATTCTAGAATTTACGACAAATACTATAATTGATCCATTTTAAAAATTGATGATTTGTTGAAATTCAAAATATTGACTATTTTCCATGACATAATAGCAATACAAAAACCATTAGACCATTCATTTAAAAAAACAAACAAAAAAACAACTGATTTTATACGATCTCAAACTGTATTTAAATATCCGTTGTGTTACAGTAGTACCCACTGTTTTTATGATTCGTTCTTTCAAAAATCTATATAACTTTACAATAATTTACCTAATCTTATAAAATAGTGTGAATTATTTATAATAAACATCTGAAAGCTTCTTCTCATTAGATTATGCTCAATCATACTCTGTGCAGCTTTAATAATATTTAACAATATATGTAGACAGTAGAAAAAGTTATATTTGTATTATATGCGTTTTGTATTTTGAATTATTTGTACGCACGAATGCTCGGTAAATATGAGAAAGGTCCGTGAGACCTAATTGTCCAAGCATAAAATGATCAACTCAATTCAATGCAATTCTCTTAGTCTCTCTTTCACTCACTCTTTCTTTCTTTCTCACTTTCTTTTTATTAAGTCTTTTAAAATGTACTGAATGTATGCATGTATCAAAAGTTATGCATTGTTATTGAGTATTGATTGTTTTGTTTTTCTTATGACATACTGATATTCTATTTGAATTTTTCGTTTATAAAATTAGTTTTTTATTAAATCATTGTTATTATAGATTGTTATTTTATGCGGTTTCGAACTTGGTTTTGATTTCAGTATACTAACTAAACATCTGTGAATTGTTTTTAAAATATTCTAGCATTTGTTTGACCTTTCTCAATTTTTTCCAGTGAGTAAGATTGATTCGGGAATATTTTTTTTAAATTAGAGTAAGGGCGACTGGCTTGTATTTGCCAGGCTAGCCCACTCATGGATATTGATGAGTTAAAATATAAATAAGATATTGTAAAGTGTTTCTGACCCTTCGTCCACGACAATTAGATTATACCACTATGTCTAACCGTGTTCTTTTTATTGTTTCTTATTGCAGGGGATGGTTCAAAAACAGTTATAAAAGTGTGGTATGGTTGTAATAAATCATAAACAACTTTGTTCACACAGCGCACGTATAAAATGTGTCATAACTGTTCGACTTAGGCATTTTTATACATATTTTTACGAAAAAATTCTGAATTTGAATTTTGAACGTAAGCTTAATAATTAATTTTTCATACGGAAAAGTCATAACGGAATAAGATAATTGTCAAAAAAAAATCCAAGTTTCAGCTAAGATTTTTTTTCTTAGGGTTGACTTACATTTCGCCGTGGATCTCGATGTGGGTGACTGGACGGTTTATGTTCCCTCATAGAATGTATATATTGCAGCAAATCCCTGGAGGGGGTCGAAGTGGGGAACCCGGGCCCGGTCAGGCCAGACACGGGACAAGGACTCGACGGTACTTGCTCATTGTTTACCTCGGCCGAGAAAGTCACCTGGGACCAGATTCAGAAGGGATGATCGGACGGCTTTCACCCGGCGGAGGATTCGGAGGTCGCTTCTACCGGCACGCCTTTTACGATGTTAATTGAATTTTAATTATACAACCTTACGTAATATTTTACGCGTTGGAAGGCTTTTTTATTTTTTAAAGACTGATAAGTGTTGTCCTGAAAGAGTAACGTATGCTTTTAAATTCATCTATGAAAATTCCAGTAATCAAAGATCAGGTTTATTATGTTAATAAAGCGTTACAATCTTACCAAAACTTAAAGTTAAATATACTATTTGGAAGTTTACAAACTTAATCATCTCACAAATTGACTAGTCTATACACAAAATAGCTATTCAAATGGAAATGCTTCTCGCAGGATTTTCAGAAGATGAGAAAATCCAGGTAAATACAGCCTAAAAATACAATATTAACCTTTTTTATATAAAAATAAACGAGTAAAGCCCTCAGTTTACCCACAAGCTCCCCGTTATATTAAACGAATCAACTTGCAAATTGTAAACAAGGGAAAAATGCGTTACCTCTTTCACGCTATAATGCTATTTTTCTTTTGCAATACGTAAATACACTGGAGTCTGTAATATAACTGTTATGTTATATTTATATAATAATTATTTGGAAATCGTGAGATGCGATCTGGTGTGATGTAGGTTTCAGAAAAACATTTTCTATATCGTGCCAACGTTTCGCACAATTACACAGAAGACAAACACTTTGAACCCTGAAGATGATCTCAATAAAGATCGAAACGTTGGCACGACAAAGAAAATGTTTTTCTGAAACCTACATCACACCAGATCGCATCTCACGATTTCTAAATAAATTTCGATTAACGGTCACTAATTTATATAATAAATTATGTTTATATATGGTGTCCTTTTAGATGGCCCGGCTGAATTTCTCTTGTACCAATGACGATAACAAATACGTGTTTAATATTTTATAGTCTAGTTTGAAATTTTTATCTAATTTGGAGAAAAAATTATGCTGGGTACCACAGGCCAGTTCGGCTGCTAAATTTTAAATGAGATCCTATACATCATGACACATCATTTGAAAGGATTTTTTACGCTGAAAACAATGGTGAAATCAAAAAATGAAAAAATGTCATTTAGTTTGCTATTTATTAATCACATTTCATGTTTGAACTGCCTGCCTTGCGTAAAGATGAAACGATTTGCACTTTTTAACAGCTCTTCACCGGTGCTCAGAGCGATAGAGTCAGGTGAGATGGATTGAATCAATTTCTACCCTTTTCCGCAATTCTTCAACTTCCAACAGATCCGGCCATGAGGTCCTATCCATCTATCCCGGAAGTGAGAATTTAAATAACAATGTCTCATTTGCAAAGAATTGTGTGTGGGACATTCATCAATAAAAGAATCATTCTTTGATGATGTTCAAAGGAACATCATGTAATAGTGTTGATAAAACCTCCCTTAAAAAATTAAATTGAGGAATTGAGCATCACTTAAATTATTTTTGCAGAAGTAAGGCATTAAATAATAATTAATTTACTTTCGAGAAGTCCACACCAAACGTTGATAATGTGAACCACCTGATGGTGACAAGAGTACGAATTCTCGGATTTTGCTCTGCCAACGTTCAAACATTCCGACGGTTTAGTATGCCATTAGAGGTGAACTTGGATTCATCAGCCCATAGAACGTATGGAAGAACATTTTCTCGAGCCTCCCAAATCGACATTTCTCCAAGGAAAGTTAGATGCTTGTCGTAACCAGAGTCCTTAAGTCCCTGGACAAGATGAGAACGATACGGGCTAAAATTGTACATCTCAAATTTTATGCTTTGAAAAACCTCAAATTCTTCCAACATTTCGGAGACCGGAATTCGGATTTTTGTAAACACACAGTAAAATAATCAGCTCGTCGTCGAAATCACGCTGCAGGTTTCTTGGTGATGGAACAGCAACTGATTTGTATCTTCTCATATCGCGAGCAACACGAATAAACTCTTTGTAGTTTACTCTGAGGTGATCAGGAAATTTCTGGGATTACAAGTCGACTATACGAAGCACACCACTACCAAAAAAGCAGTCGTACATATCAACTGACTGTTTGTCGGAAAATGTGTGAAAAACGGAATACTGGATGTCAGGAATAGGTACCGTCAAATTTATTTACATCCAGAAATGAAAATTTGCTCTCATAATGTGATTTTGTTAGACAATGACTAGATATAAACAATTAACAATGAAACAAACGAAATGCCTTTTTTCAAACTTTTGCCATAACTTTGTCATTATTTGTCCAATTGAAAATCCGATTGCACTATTTTTTCAGCGTAAAAAATCCTATTAAATGAAGTGACAGGATGTATAGAGTTGTACTTGAAATTGTGAAGTTGAACTGGGGCTGAGGTAACCTGTATAATTTTTTAAAATTTTGCAACTAGACTAAAAAATATTAAACACGTATTTTTTCATAACGTCATTGGTTTAAGAGAAATTCAGACGGGCCATCAAAAAGTCAAAAATAAATGTACTATATATAGTATATTTATTACCAATTTTTGCAATTAATAACTCGTATTGCTGTGTCCTCGCAGAGGGCTTTATATCTCATTGGCATCTGGTAAATAAGCCATCGGATTTAATTTTTTTACGAGGGTTCGCAACTGCAGAGGTCATATCACCCCTCGGAATACCGGTGTTTTTGCAAAAAAAAATCCATTTTTAAGTATGTCCAGCGGCCCTGCATTCGAACCCGGGACCTTTACCTTACCCTGATCGGATTTCATCTAGTATAACAGAATCCCATTCTTAAAAAAGAGCGGTTTGTTCAGGCGGCAAACGATGTCTTTTTATTATGTCCCATAAATGTTCAATAGGATTCATGTCAGGCTAGGCAATTAACTGTGGCAATCGCTACGCTGGACCAGCATGAAATGTGGTCTAGCATCATGAATAAAAACGAAGTTGTCTCTAATAAATGAAGGGAATGGAACCAGAGATTTAAAAAATATCTCAATGTACTTTAGTGCAGTCAAAGATTCATTCTGTATGATAATCAGTTCAATGCGAGCATGGCCGATGATTCCACTACATACCATAAATAAATGTCGTTGAAAACGTGTGGTGATTAGTGACTGTAAGTCGATGATTATTCAAAAATCGTGAGATGCGGTCTGGTGTGATGTAGGTATCAGAAAAACATTTTCTTTATCGTGCGAACGTTTCGATCTTTATTGAGATCATCTTCAGAGCTCAAAGTGTTTGTTTTCTGTGTAACTGTGCCATTCTTGCGTATCGTGTTGAGAGTGCTTTGGTGTAATTTTTGTGTTAATTTTTTAATGTTTTTGATGCTCGTGGTGATTTCTATGTTTAAAATGTTTCTTTTGAAATGTATTGTGGCTTTATGTATGTCGTTAATTCTGGTGTTCGGTTGTGTTAGTGTGGCATTTGTGAAGTTAAAATTGTTTTTGATATGAGTAGGAAATACCTTGTGTTCTGCATTTTAACAAAAAGTACTCTGATTTATAGCCGATGCGAGTTTCTTCTCATGTTGGCAATGTCCTTCAGGATACTTTTTGCTTCGTGTCCATATGTAGTTGAAATTTGTTCATAGAATCCCATGTTCTTCGTTCTTTTCATGTGGAAATGTGTGGTGATTAGTGATTGTTAGTCGAAGATTATTCAAAAATCGTGGGATGCGGTCTGGTGTGATGTAGGTTTCAGAAAAAACATTTTCTTTATCGCGCCAACGTTTCGATCTTTATTGAGATCATCTTCAGGGCTCAAAGTGTTTGTTTTCTGTGTAATTGTTGGTGTAATTTTTGTGTTAATGTTTTAATGTTTTTGATGCTCGTGGTGATTTCTATGTTTAAAATGTTTCTTTTGAAATGTATTGTGGCTTTATGTATGTCGTTAATTTTGGTGTTCGGTTGTGTTACTGTGCCATTTGTGAAGTTAAAATTGTTTTTGATATGAGTAGGAAATACCTTGTCGTGTAAATAGTCGTTGAAAACGCTGCGACTCACTCGTGGCACATGGAGCACGTTTTCCCCACACCCCAGGTTCCGGTTATATGAAGCTACAAACCAAACCGGCGCTCATCTATGAAGAGAACAGCACAAGTTTAAGTGTCCAAGCGAGACGCTGATTTGCTTTTCTACTAGATCCCTAGAGACTAGGCTATTCTCACGAAACCTGACAGAATCTTTTTGTACAGCTCGCCTTTACATTAAGGATCGCTTGGAATTGATTACCTTTCAAGGAAGTCGTTAAATGACGGTTTCGTAGTGCGGTAAGAGGAATGAAACGATCATGAGCCGTCGTATATTGCGGTCGACCACTACCTTCTCTTAAGTCATGACTTCCGGTGGTTCTAAACCGTGGATGGTAGAGCACGGCACACTCAGGTCTTAGACTATGTAATGGAAGCAACTAAGTCTGTCCTTTGCTAAAGTATCTGCTCGGGCGAGATCTTCTCTACTTAAAAACATGCTTTTAATAAAGAAAATTATACAAATTTATTGCGTCATGAAAGAAAAAACTAGAAAAACAAATTATTCAACAAGTTGGCTTTAAAAATTATGAAAGTGAACGGATTTTCTTTACTTTTAATACAAAGACAATTAGTCACACACTATAAAGGTAAGCTGCAAATTATTAATACGACTTTACGTTTAAAGTCAACTATTAGCCTTTATACCTTGATTTATTGAAAATTATGACAAGCCATTTCGTAGAGTCCGCCAAAGCGCCATCCACAACATAAAGAAGGCAGAGAATTCCGACGAAAAAAAAAGAAAGCGACGCGGGACTACTACATTACTTTAACATTGTCTTACATCCTTTCCTTCCTTATCTTAGGATTCATAACCAACCAGTGTTTTTAATTGCTGACCACTAATTTAATTTTCCTGTTTGTCGATCTTTACCACCATCGTTGCCAGAATTTTGAACACATAATTTGTTGAAAATAATTTTTTTTAAATTTTTTTTTTGTAAATTTGCCCTATTTTTCCCTTTA